GGACTAGCACGACAGACGAGAACACTGAAAACTAAATGCTCTGGCTGTCACGGCGTGGAGCCATGAAAACAAACACCGAACAGCTCGAATCCTACTCATGGCAGGGTGTGCATCGGGTCTTGATGACAATTAAAAGTAGTTCTGCGTTTCGTGTGTCAGGATACTTGCATTAAATGGTCAAGAACATGACGTTCACTCCATCAAACAAGGTTTCATCAGAAACAGCAACAACAGGAATGTTGTCTTTTCCTTCTTCTCTCCAAGTGTTTTTGCTGTCTGTGCGTTTTGGCCACAAACAGTCGACGGCTGTGAACAGTGGAACGTGTGTGTGTGTGTGTTGTGTGTGTGTGTGTGTGTTGCTGTGGTGTGTGTGTGTGTGTGTGTGGTGACAGTCTGACTAGAGAAACTGATTCAGTGTCAGAACTTGTGCCAAGTTCACTGAAAATGTCCAACAACTCAGGATAACCTACATTTTTTTTCACTCCTGTTAAAACGATCAGGACAGATGTGTCCTCACCTCATCTGTCTGGATCTGGATCTGTTCTGGTGGTCATGGACTGAACAGGAAGTTTTGATTTATGCTCCATTCTCCGAAAGGGAACAGTTTTTTGTGTATGTTGGTTTTTTGGTTGTGCTTTTGTTTGGTTTGTTGCTGGTTTGCTGTTGTTGTTTGTGGTTTGGTGTTTGTTGTTTTGTTTCTGGATTTGTTGTTTTTGTTTGTGTGCTGGGTTTGTGGTTGTTTTTTTTGGTTGTGTTGGTTGTGTTGGTTGTGTTTGTCGTTGTGTTGTTGTTTGTGTGTTTGGGCGTTGTTTGCTGGTTTGTTGTTGTGTTTGTTGGTTGTTTAGTTTATTGTTTGTTTTGTTGGTTTGTTTTGTGTTCTTTGTGGTTTGTTTTTGTTTTGTCTGGTTTGGTTTGTTTGAATGGTTTGTTGGTTCTTTGTGGTTGCTGGTTGTTGGTTTGTGTTTTGTTTGTGCTGGTTTGTTGTGGTTTGTTTTGTTGGTTTGTGTTTGTTTTGTGTTTGTGGTTTGTTGGTTTGCCTGGTTTGTGTTTTTTTTTGTGCTGGTTTGGTTTGTTTGGTTTGTTTGTGTTTGGTTTGCTGTTTGTTTTGTTGTTTGTTGGTTGTGTTGGGTTTGTTTGTTTGTTTGTTAGTGTTATTGTTCTGGTTTGTTTTTGGGTGTTGTTGTTTTGATTGTGTGTTTTGTTGCTGGTTTGTGTGGTTTTGTTTGTGGTTTTGGTCAATTGCGTTTGCTGGTTTGGTTTTGGTTGTTGTTGTTTTGGTTTGTTTGTTTTGACTGGTTTGTTGTTTGTTTGGTTGTGGTTTTTTTGTGTTTGTTTGTTGTTTGTTTGTGTTTTGTTGTTGTTGGTTTGCTGGTTTGTTTGGTTTTGTTGGTTTGTTGTTTGTTGGTTGCTTGGTTTGTTGTTGTTGGTTTGTTTGGTTTGTTGGTTTGTGGTTTGCCTGGTTGTTGGTTTGTTGGTTTGTTTGCGTTTTGTTGGTTGCTGTTTGTTGTTTGTTTGGTTTGGTTGGTTTGTTGGTTTGGTTGGTTTGGCTGGTTTGTTGGTTTGTTGGTTTGTTGGTTTGTTGGTTGCTGGTTTGTTGTTTGTTGGTTTGTTGGTTTGTTTGGTTTGTTGGTTTTGTTGGTTTGTGTTGTTTGTTGGTTTGTTGGTTTGTTTGTTTGTTGTTGCTGGTTTGTTTGTTTGTTGGTTTGTTGGTTTGTTGTTTAGTGGTTTGTTGACTGGAGCTGAGCTCAGCTTGTTTCTCTGATAACTGCAGATCTGACAACAACATACAGAACATAGATCTTGTTGTTTTTAGACATTTTAATTGTGGAAAAGTTACAGATTAATAACGTTAAGTCTGACTTGAGTCGAGTCATGTGACTCCAGTCCCTCAGACCGGACACTTTCCTGCAGTGTTGCAGGTATTTAGTCATTAATCCTGCAAGAGCAAAGAACTCATGAGCACCGAAACTTAAAATTCAAGTCAAGCTCTCGTCTTCAAATTTCCTTAATTACTTAGCATCAAAATCAGGTGATCACAGGAGGCAGTTTAAGACTTTGACATGACCTGTGAATGTGCACGCCCGCTGACACTTTAATTTATGACCATTTTTTGTTTTGTTTTTCGTTAAGCGGTTCCAGCTCCGAGATCAAATACAGGGTCCAAGAATAAAGGTCACATCTGAATGAAGATGAAGTGGTCCAGAGGAAGGAGAGATTCCTCTGATGCTCCCATCTCTCTGTGTTCAACACATTGAGTGATAATTACAGCCTCATTGAGGAGAATCCCATGAAATGAGACAAAGAGATACAGAGCCGTGGGGCTTCATCAGCTTCCACTCGAGAAAGGAAACTGATATTAGAGACGAGCAGCAGCCTGCAGGAGAATTTAAAGTTCGGCATTTTTAAATTCTCGCTGCTCCGTCTCTGACGCTGCCACTCGTCTGTTCCACACAAACACAGAGAAATCCCAGAACAGCTCTCCCTGGCCCTTCCAGCTTAGGTTGTGCAAATAAAAAAAGAGTGGACAGGTATTGTTGTCTCAGCCTGTCAGTCAGCCATCAGATAAACACGCAAGCAGACATTTCCTCTCAACATGCTCAGCCTCGTCTCTTGACCTTCACCTGCGGTGCACAGGCCTCCAGCCGAGGAGATGCAATATCCTCTATAGGTGCATATCAACTGCCGAGAACGTTTTCAAAAGGTTTCCTCCACCCCGAGCCACCCTCACCTGCACACTACAAAGAGCAGGCATTTTCACACTCACTGGGTCTCAGATGGCAGTGGCCTTAGCGTCCCTGGCCTCTGGGCACTCCTGCACACAGCTGACCCTCCGGCTGCAGCCGGTGGGCAGCGGTTCAAAGCCGAGAGACGCTCACATCTCTCAGACTCTCACAACACAACACCAGGCTGCCATGAAAGATAGTAAAACAAAAAACAACAGACACGAAGGCCGGAGAGCAGCCAGCCGAGCCCGTCAACCAGGCGGCTCTGAAGACGCCTGCGTGGAATAATTACCCGGATTTATAAATGTGTGCTGACTCAGATTTAGTCAAACACATTTCTCTTTGTTTGAATACTCACTAATGCCATGATTTATGCATCATAGCGCCGTTAATGCGCGTGGGAATTTCATCACAGCCGCTAAAAGCCTGTATAAGACTAACTCCGATAATCTAGATTAACTATTTATATTAACAGTAATGTAGGGAGCACGGCGTCGCGAAGCAAAGACTAAAAGCTCTGAGAGGGAAAAAGGCAAATAAAGTCACACTTCACAAAGAGAGGGATTCATTTGGACCAAGTGTCCCCAGTAAACAATGAACCATGCAGTCTGCATTTATTAGAACGTGGGGCTTTAAATGTTTCATAGTTTTGGTGATCCACTCGAATTCTTTATGTCCACACTGAAATGATAAACTACGGTGCAGACAAGGTAATGTGCTGAGATCTGCAAAGCACAGCAGCGTCGCTACAAACAGAGTCTGTGAGGCCAGTGTGCATGCTAAACAGGATTCGGTCTTAAAACTGTGCAGGGATGTTACAGTCTGAGTGACACCGTCTCCTCACATCGCCACTTTCTGGTACCGTTCTCATGTTGTCACAGCAGGTTGATGATGTGGAACATAAATGCAACATTTACAGAGTCACACCATGAAAAACTTTCCAAAATACAACTCTAGCAATACAACAACAGACCGTAACTGTCCATAACGGAAGGATGAAGGCAGACAACAAACAAATTCTGGCAGATGTCCTTCACAAGCGATGTACAAAAACACATACTTCCTGCCTACTGCTTCTTCTTCCTGTGTACCGTGACATGTGAAACCTCCAGAAGGTTTCACAATACACTGACATACACCCTCAGACTAGGTAACAGCCAACCTCGAGCAAAGGTTCTACTGTCTCAACCTGTCTATCTGCTTTTGTTTTCTGTTTGTTTGTTTTATTTAGTTTTTTTTAAAAACAAAGAGGGACCTCCTGATCCTCTTGATGACGTATTAAAGCACAGAAGCGATTGATTGATTGATTGATTGACTGTACAGAGTAATGGAGGCAGTTGTAAGCGTAGCTAAGCTAGGAAGGCAGCAGGTCTGTCTCTGTCCACAGCTCTCGCACTAACTACGCTGCTGTCTCGGGTTAAAATTCCGTGTTCAAACGAGTGGTAAAAGACAGTTTGGCAGTTTTGGAGGTGAATTTTCCATGTCTGTTGCCTCCACAGAGACCTTTATTAAAACCCTGTGCACACCACTGTATCTGACAGCTCATCCATAGCACACAGACACTGATGGATTCTGGTTTGCGTACTCATGGCAAAAAATAGCGTTCAACACACCGAAATCCCATACATGTTGTTGTTTACTGCTCTTCTGTTAAGAGTAAGCACGATTTGTCAGATGTTGAAGTATTACTCTGGAGGAAAAGCACTGCCACCCTCAGATTCACCTCTTCATTTGTTTTTTATAGTTATTAATGGGCAATGCATTGTGGGAGTGATGGTTGTTTAAACGAATAATACGTGCTCTTCTATGCTCCACGGACGGCTTAAATCTGAGCAGCGCTGAATCTAAAACAGCAGAGTTCCTGTGCAAGAGCCTGAAGTAACAAAGAGTTCTTTCTCCTCTGTGGTTTCCAAGCAATTCTGCGATATTTAACTGCTAACAGGGTGTAAGTGGCGTGCCATACTACACCCCCCCCCACAAAGCCAATTGTGCATACTGACATCTCTTTGTGTTAATGTTGTTCATTTGCCATTAATCACACAGCGGCGTGCAGCGCCTTACAGAGTGTCTAACAGCAGCGATGAAATGGATGAATGCTGCTTCTTTTATTCCTTTCACTTCCCTGCTATGTTAGGCCTCACTGGAGAGTCCAGGGTGGGGGTGCGTCCTGCTGCCTCCCTCTGGGGCTGTGGTAGTTGGGCTCTACAGTGCCCCTCGTTGCCTGGTTGATTTACTCGTGATTAAATCATTTCATCTAAGCACATGAAAGGGGTCGCAATGGGGGGTGGGGGCAAGGAGGTAAGTATAAACACCTGTCTGCGCGTCCCGCGGTGTTTTAGTGGCACGGGGGGCCAGAGCAACATTTAAACTTTAATGAGTTGTCGGTTTCTGCTCAGCTTCTCTCAGCATGTAGTAATAGTGCTAACGTTACCTGGTCTGGTGGCGCCGACACACCAAGGTAACAAGGGAACAGAGCGCGCAGGGGAAGAGCAGAACCTCCGTTCATCTAAAGTACGCGTACAGGCGTTGGGTTTGTCCGGTATCGCCGGTGGTGGGTGTTCGCAACAAAATCCTTTGTCCAGGAGATGAATGCAAGCAGTGTTGTGGACGTTCTCTGTTTTATCAGCGTCGGGGGATGGGGTGGAGTTGGGGGGCCTTGGCGGGTTTGAACAGTTGTGAATTGAGACTCGCGGTCTGTAGTTCAAGCCAATTATGCTCTGGGATCAGGTGAGGAAGCAGACACACAGGATCTGCTCACTGGGCGATTCCGGCAGGTGTCGAGGTCTCGGAGTTTTTACTGTGATAGTGGAACGGTTAGGAATCTTTTTAGTGCACAGACGCTGTAGTTAAAAGGTTGAGGTCAAGTCAATCAAGTCATCTGTATGTAACTCAGTTTTAACGACACTCCCAGCGAGCAAACAGATGAAACTCTGAGAACAGAGAACTGATGACGCGTCAAGCGCAGACCTGAAGAGACCCATACATTTACCAGTATGTACACATTTCAGAACCACTGCTGCAGTGACGCTCACGCACCGTTTTCTTTCTTTTTAATCTGTACCACCTTCCATGAGCTCTGAGAGCTGGCACTCCCACCCTCAGCACAACTCTGAAAACAACCTTGTACAACCCTGAATGGTTTTTCTCAAAAACTCTCGATGTTCAAC